AATCATCTCTTGCCCATGTCTTCCTCGTAGTGGCTTAGCAGAAAAGGTCTCCTTTACTAGCCGGTGCTAACAAGCTGGCCTTTGAGCTCTGTAATCATTGTCCAGCTGCAGGTTTTTGCTTCTCTCTCTCTCTTTTGTGCTAAGCAGCAGTTCACTCCCTTACAACATAACTACTGTGTGCATATTCTTATCAGATAGAGTAAGGAGGGGGTGGGTTGATCTTTGTGTTTTAGAAACTTGTTAAGCGTTAGAGAACAATGAGCTGGGCAGGTTTAGCTCTCAAAATCCAAATCTGTCCAGTAAGATCCTGCAGAGGACTGTATTTGGGCAGAATGAAACTTCACAAACTCATTTAATTTCTCACTTAATGTCTATCCCTCACTTCTTGGAAAAGATCACCAATACACATGGCAAGTGATCCAAAGTAGCAGAGGGTCAAGAGAAGCCCAAGTCATTTCCCACTCTTGTCTTTTCAAATTACTGTAGATAGATAGCTTGCTTCCCATTAGGCTCTTCCTTCCTCCTCATGAAGTCACTTCCTGCTATTTCTTCTTCCACCACCATCTTAACTGGAGAGACACATGCTGAATGACAGCTAATAGCAAACTTTTCCAGCTTTAGGCATTTTTCAAAGTTAATTTAGAAATCTTTCTTCCTGAACTAATCCCATGAATTTAGAAAGAGTACATTTCTTTTTGGTTTATTATCAGACTCCAGACTAGTGATTTATATTCAGTAGTCGCCACCTCAACACTAGATTTATGACTTCTGCCAATAAAAATAACTCTTAACATGCATCTGGAAGTGGGGGAAGAAATACCTCCAACTTCTGAATGAACACCTCGGAATTTTAAAAGGCAAGGAATTATCGTTATGGCTCTTTAAAGATGTTCACCACAATCTAAACTTTGAAAGGGAAGAACAATGGAAATAAACATAGATAGGGATAGAAAATGGGTCAGTTCAGTTATGTAAACTGAAGCTAAAACATGTGGCAGCTATGGCCTTCTAATGTTGTACTGTACTGCAGCTCCCATAACCCTTCACCATTGGTTATGCTGGAAAGAGTTGATGGGTATTATAGGGAAAAAGCAATTTGGAGATGGACAGTTGCCCACACCCTGCCAAAGGATTCATGGAAAATATGTATTCTGACTTATGACAGTCCTTTTCAGGGTTTTCCAGGTGGAGAAAACTCAGAAGTGGTTTATCATTCCTTTCTTCTGGGGTGCCCTGGGTCAGTGCAGCTTGCCCAAAGCTGCACAGGCTGGCTCTCCTCACAAGAGGCACCATGGGGAATTGAATTCCCAACCTCTGGCTCTCCTAAACTTCTGAGTTATTCATCCAGATCATGGAAAATAACATCACCTATTTCCACACCCATGAGGTAACTCTTACCATCTTCATGTTGTGACTGAGCTGGTGTTTTCAAAGTAGATTACCTGGAGGGAAAAAGCAGATCCAAGGCAATAGTGATTTACTCTCTTACCTGGCTTCTAAAAAAGACAGGCCAGGAGCTGGTGTTTTCAAAGTAGATTACCTGGGGGAAAAAGCAGATCCAAGGCAACAGTGATTTACTGTCTTACCTGGCTTCTAAAAAAGACCGACCAGCTTAATTCTTTCTTTCTTTCTTTCTTTCTTTCTTTCTTTCTTTCTTTCTTTCTTTCTTTCTTTCTTTCTTTCTTTCTTTCTTTTCTTTTCTTTTCTTTTCTTTTCTTTTCTTTTCTTTAAGGTAGACAGGATATGATACAAACACATATTTGTACTCCCCAGGAGTAGTTGGCACTCCTTATTTGTCGTACTCTTAAGTTTGAAACAAATATAAAATGAATTACACTGCCTTTTTAAAAAGCTTGTCTGGCCCCAGATAAGCCATCTCTGTTTCAGGGCTGGTCTTCCCATTAGGAAAGGTGATAAGAACATAGTAAATAGATGATTGATACCACCATGGTGGTACCTATTAATCTACTCGCATTTGCATGCTTTCGAACCGCTAGGTTGGCGGGAGCTGGGACAGGCGACGGGTGCTCATTCCGTTGCGTGGATTCGAACTTACGACTGCTTGGTCTTCTGACCCTGCAGCTCAGGCTTCTGCGGTTTAGCCCACAGCGCCACCACGTCCAGGAAAGGTGATAAGAACATAGTAAATAGGGCAAATGATTGATAAAAGCAGTAAATAAAAATAATCACTCCATTAATACAGTATATATTAAGATGTAACTGACATATAATATTAATATATTTTATTAAGCTAATTAATGAAATGAGATAATAAACAATTGCTACAGCAGAAATAGTTTTAGAAAAGGTAGCCAGATTAGTCTGTGCTAGCGTACCAGGCAAAAACAAATAAAAAGAAAACAAAAACATTGTGGTACTATTATAGACTATTATATTTTAATGTAAATGTTAATGGAACCTTGCCCACTTCTTCAGACATACGAAATGGAATACAGAGATTAACACAGTAAAACACTCATGCTAGGATCTAAGAGACAATGGTATATGCTTTCTTTTTACGCCTGCAATGATTTATGACCACTGTGTGGTATTCAGTTCTTTCACTTCTCACCATAGTGAGGAAGACTGTGACCAGGTGACCTCTTGGCTTGTTAGGTGCTAAGCCTTGATGGGCAACTTCAAAGATCCTCTTGCTTTCCCCTATTATTTATTTTTTAAACCTTATACTGGATTTGGATGAGACCGCCCTCTTTAAAACAGGGTTATGGTTCTCAGGCCTTCTTTTCTTATGTAGCATAATTCTAAAAATTTCATTTTTTTCTGGAAAAAAAAATGTTTTTCCACCTGGTTTGTTGTTTTATGTTTTTCAGAAAAAAAAATGAAATTTTTGGAAATTTTACATCTCTAGAGAGAACTTAAATACATAAAGTCTCAGAATCTTTCATTAAGGCCTTCATGTTATATAATTTGAATACCATGTCATAGACATATTATTTATCATTGTAGAAGAAGATATTCCACATTCCATTTAAAAAAAATTCAGGGGGGGGCAACTTTGGAAAAAAAAAAGAAAAACATTGTTTTTTCCAAATTTTTCTGGTTCTTTTCCAGACCCTCCCATTTCTACTCATGCCCCACAAATCACTTGTCAAAGAACCAGAATCCCACCATAAGAGAAATTTAAAACACACTTTTCTCGACTTTGTTGACTATGGAGTAAGGTAGATGATGAAAACCACAGACTGTTCAATGTAAATGCTAGCATGCCCAGGAAGTTACTAACATGGGAGAGGCAGATAAGTAGGAGATGGCACATGAGAACTGTAAGAGGACACAATGACTGAGAGTTAATTCTTTATAACCACTTAATAGGAAAACACTGCATCCCAACTAGATGACTCCTTCTGTCTCCTCTTAGCGGGTGCATGTATTGCTGCTTGAATGTCACTGAAATAAGGTCTGTGGACATTATAACTTATTCCCATTCACCTTGTTCTTCTCTTGATGAACTGGAAGCCTCTAATCCTTATTACCCAAGTCCTAGATCTACAAACAGCTCTTCGCCTGGCTAGACAAAGGCCATAAGGGGGAGGGTAAAGGAATGCATGGAATCTGCTAGGAACAGATAACTAATTTCCGGCTTATTCCTGAGTAGGCCTCGGGTCTGTGGCTCAACTGCAAGTCTGTCTTTGTGCAAATGCAGCTAAAGAAATATGGTTATTGGTTATTGGTTATTCATTCAGAGGCAAGACTATTGTGCTAGGAAAAATGAATAGGGTTGCTGGTTCTTTTTCTTTTTCTCTCATATGCTCTGAGACCCATCACGGGGTCTCTTACAAAATTGTTGCAGAGATAGGCTCAAATACTGTAAGAATAAGCTTTGCAACTTACTATGATTTCCTGACCATTTTCCCCCATTGCTTTAGAATGTCGAGAACTGTATCATTGGAACAAACTTCCCCATCGGACCAGAATTTAATATTATTTAATAAGTTCTGAAATATTGCCCTGGTGTTCAAAAAATGACAGTTTGTTCCATCTACCAAACTCAACCATGCAATTTTAAAAATGAGTTATAGTTTCAAAATGTGCTGTTTGTAAAATGGGAGGTAGAGGTAGTATTAAAGAAGCAAATATATAACATTCTCAGATCTTTCACCTTGTAAGCTCTATTAGAGTCACTGTAAGTCTGTTCCAACATGACCGCACACAACAACACAAATGTACAGAACAACACTAAATGTGTTTGTTTGTTTTTTTCATCTGCAGCACATGCCAAAAATGTTGTGACACCTTAAAACCATGTACAGAACAACACTAAATGTGTTTGTTTTTTTTCATCTGCAGCACAGGCAAAAAATGTTGTGACACCTTAAAACCGTACAAATATACTGCTGCCCAAGCCTTTGGGGACAAAAATCCATTCATCAGATGCATCTGACTCGTTATCTCTACTCTTTGAAAGCATACGCCAGCCTTTGCATTGGCTATTCTGGCTGAGAATTATGGGAGTTGTAGTATAATACACCAGGCTGAAAGGGTGGCTTAAGCCATAGTAACTTTCTCAGTCTTTAAAATATCTCAAGGCATCAAACATCAATTTGTGTCAAACATGTTGCAAGACCTTTTAGTGTTCTGTGGCAAGTAGTGGATAAATAAGATGCACAGGGGGAAAAATACTTTTAAAGGACTACAGCTCCTGGAATTCTACAGCCAGGCCATAATATTGTGCAGTTCCAATTGTGCAGTGCTCAGTTGAACATCTGGATAGTAGAGGTTTAGAACAGTTGCAGAGAAGACTTGATGCCCAAGGGACTGGGATAGGGCATTATAGAGAAGTGGTCTCCTGGTGAGAACTTGGAAACATTACTTGCTTTGAGTACAACTCTCCAAACCTCCCCTATCTCAGCCAGCGTTCTGAGAGTTGTAGTTCAAACAAGGTACTTTTTCCAAGCTCTGTTCTTCACTGAAAGTACTCGCAAGTTTGCATTGTTTATTTTATTTCTCTTGTGACAGCCACACTGTTGTTTGTTTCCCAGGTCAAACAAAGCCTGTCAAGATGTCCAGCAAGCGGGCCAAGGCAAAGACCACCAAGAAGCGCCCTCAGCGTGCCACCTCCAATGTCTTCGCTATGTTTGACCAGTCACAGATCCAGGAATTCAAGGAAGCTTTCAATATGATAGACCAGAACCGGGATGGTTTTATCGATAAGGAGGATCTGCATGACATGTTGGCCTCTCTTGGTAATAAAGCCGTGATGAGTTGAACATGCTGGTAGAGGGCTGGTGTAGACCTCAGAAAAGCCACTCTTCTAGAGCAGTGGTTCCTAACCGTGGATAGCCCAACTGCAGCTCCCAGAAGCCCTAGCAGCACAGCTGGTGGTGAAGGCTTCTGGGAATTGCAGTCCAAGAACACTTGGGTAACTCATGGTTGTTATTCTAGAGGACAACTTGTAGAATCTCATCACCATCCTAGCTCTGTGAGACTTGGCTAAGTGAGACTTGGCTAAGAGAGTAGTTTAAGTGCTATGAATCAGTCTCTATCTCAGTTCCAAAACCAGGTCTAAACAGAAAGCTGAAGAAGGCAATGGCATACTATACTGCTAAAATTGCATAAGTGCCTGTTGGGTGAAATAATATTTCTCACAGATCCCTGTTATTAAGAGAACCAACACAGTCAGTTGGGCTAGACCTTCTCTCTGAAGTTTTCTGTTTTCAGGGGGATGTTTTGCATGAGGAAGTTGGTTGATTGAAGTTCTGCAATCCTTTCTTCTTTCTTGTTCTGTGACTTTGGTACAGCCCTTCTCATTTTAAGGCATTTCATCTTCACCCTCACCAACAATCCTGTGAACTGAGTTAGGCTTCAATATATTGGCGGCTGCTGATCACCCCGTGAGCTTCATGTTTGAGTGGCGATTCATACCTTTCTATACTAAATTTTAACAGTATAACCCCGAGATGGGTTACATGATTATAACATGATTATACTGAAAGGTTTTGGGCTGCAAATTCTATAAGCACTGGTTGTTTGGCCATGCTGGTTGGGTCTGATGGGATTAGCAATCCAACGTGTCCAGAGGGCACTCCTGATTACATTTGTAATGTTTGCCATACTAAGCATTAAAATCATCCTGAAGTATTGCTTGGTCTGACTATGGGGATGCAGAGATGGAGCCCAGAAATAGAAAATGCCATCCTCCAAGAAGTGAAGGGGCTCATCAAAACTAGGAACCCAAACAGATGCAAAAAGGCAGGCAGTTGTGTTGATCGATCTCAAGAAACCAATTCTAGCAGTTTTCATCTCCATCAGAAGCAGCTCTTTTATAAAGCTGATGGATCTGAATTGGCTGGGAAAGACCAAGCCATCCTGAACTATATTGCCTCAGAACAGTTCACAGTAATACACTTATGCTGGGAAATTCTCAATCTGCCCTGAACATTGCAGCTAAACTCAGAACAGAGAAGCCTCATAGAGATGCAGATCATACCGTTATGCCTACTAATCAAAACATATTCCAGCACTTTGCATCCATTATAACTGTGGTTTGCTCAGCCCCAGATATTTTAGAGGTAGATTCCCAGAAACCCCAGCCTCAGGCTATTGAAATCCAAAACATCTCATATCCCAGAGGTTCAGAACCACAGGACTGTATACCCCTGTTCCTTATCCTTCTCCACTGCAGTGACGTCACAGACCTGCTTATCATAGGAGGTGGTAAAATTTTCCTCTTGCTTGGTTTTAAAGGCCAGCAAGTTCATCCTCAGTTAACTGCAAAACTCAAGGAGCATTGTGGAGACTATGTCAAGTAAAACGGGTAGTGTGAAGTAAATATTTGACTGAGTGGGCTGAAATCAGGATGGTAGAGATAAGACTGAAAGGAATACTAAGAGTATGTTTAGAGAGTGGCAATTGCACAGACCACTAGAAGGCAACTAAGTTATACACTTTATGTATGGTTGTTGTTGTTTTTGCTTCCTGATTTAATTTTGACCAAGTGGACCCATTGGGAAGTAGTTCACCCCAATATAGGATCCTAAATGCATAGACAGCTGCATGCGTGCAGTAACTATGAGACCAGGATGCCCTCCCTGTAGAAAGTTATAATGATTTGGCAGTATTTTTTTTAAAACCCACATCTCCTCTCTTGCCATTCCCGATTTGCCACCATGCAAATGTTAGTCTTCTAGGCCATATCCACAGGATCTGGTTTTATGGGCAATTTATGAAGAAACTCCTAGGAAACTCTCTCTTACACAAGGAGAGGGGACATTCACCTTTGTTTGAGAGACAAGGTCATGGGGCATTTTATTGCCCTAGTTTAGCTGGGTGACAATGTGATGTTTATATCCTGGTCTTATTGCAAATCACTCAAAGAAAGAAAGGAGCAGACTGGGAGAGAGCCAAGCCAACAGAATTATAGCAAACAGGCTATCAAGGTTTTTGGTCATTTCCCTGACAATTTCTGCTGAGGATGGAATTGTGTTGTTCAGGAACCTTCCATCTGTTGCAGCCAAACATTTACCTATACTGCCACTGTATACCCATTTATAATATTATTAATAGTACTTTTGTCACACTGGGTATCTGGAAAGGCTATCAAAACAATAGTAAAATATCAATATTAAATCACTATTAAAGAATAGACCTGCTCCTGCAGGGTTACAGTATAAAATGGGTGGGGGAATTGTTGTTGACAGTCCCCATTGGCTCTCACCAGCAAAGCCACTGATGACAAATGCTGAGTGGTTGAAGTCAAACAGCAGCCGGATGGCCACAATTTGGCCATTTCTGATTTTAAAAGACGTGACACAAAAAGAAAGGAGGGTATAGAGGGAAAAGAAAAACTAGAAAATGCAAGCGCACATTTTTATTTTCAATGCGCTTTTCAGCCTAATTAGAATGGCTCCTATAATACAGTTCTGATGTGCCATAATCCTGTTGAGGGCTGCCAGGGTCCATGGTTTGGAGAGACCATTCTGGCCAGTGCAATTAAAAACCATGAGATGGAGGTTTTCCATTCCTACTGTAGGAGAAATGAGTCTAAGTGAATGATGTAAACTAAGAAAAATCACATGCCAGGAATGGGAGAAGGCAAATGTTTCACCACGATGGCACAAATACAGTGGTCCTGAGCACACTTGGAAAAGTTACTTTTTTAAACTACAGCATCTAGAATCTTTTCCACCAATCCAGCCAGGGTAGTCAAAAAGGTAGCTTTTTATAGTGGAGAAAGTAACGTCTGATCTCTGATCCTGCGAGAAAAGAAATTATTGCCAGCACTTGGGGAAAATAATGCAATCTGTTTTTGAATCAAACATGGAACTAAGTTTCTGGTCATCTTTCAGGAAAGAATCCCACCGATGAATACTTGGAGGGCATGATGAGCGAAGCACCTGGGCCCATCAACTTCACTATGTTCCTCACTATGTTCGGAGAGAAGCTGAATGGCACTGATCCAGAGGATGTCATCCGCAATGCTTTTGCCTGCTTTGATGAGGAGGCTACAGGTATGCAGACCAATGGGCCAATGCATAGCTTGGAAAAAGTTGCTTATTATTATAATTCTCACAATGGAGGAGAAAAGAGATCGAGGTTCAAGCTTTTGGGGTCTGCATTCAGTTTTGAATAGAGCTTTGAAGGTTTACTCCAAATTCCAGAATTCTCCCAAGAATTCCCCAGCAGAATTCTGTTTGTTTCATCCCCCAAACATACACTTACAGACATCCAATTTCTCCTTATCTCCTACCTTTGAGGCTAACTGGCCTCCTCTGGCCTTTGCTTCCTATTGTTGATATAAAAGAAAAAAGGAAGCTGCTACTGTGCTTCCTGGGAGTAGTCTTGCTGCCTATTAGCATCTGCAAGAAGAACTATGATTGTGACACAGGTGGGAGGAGACCATGCAGCCTTTCTTAAGGTGAGCAAAAGGTTAGGTGTCTGTAGGGTATGTATTTGCAGGCTGGGAATTCTAGGAGCCTTGGGGATTTCTGGGAATGTCCAAAAAAAATTTAAAAAGCACAATCCTTATCACTATTTTCTACCTGTTCACACTGTTAGAGTCTTAATTATGTATTGGAAAGAAATTTCAGTTGATTACTTTTACATTAGCCTTCCTGACAATTGCAATAATTAATTTAGCTACTGTATTTTCTTAAAATCTGGGGATAACTGGGGCCCTTTTCATGTAACTATGGCCTAGTATAGAACATGCATTTGCTAAGTTGGGTCTGGGGCAAAAACTAATGAGAAAGTCTCAGTATCATCTGAAACATGTCGCCTTACTTCATGGCAGGCCATCCTCAGAAGTGACCACTAGTCCTTTACTAATGCAAACTCTCCTCCTCCTCTCTGATCTTCATCTATGTCTGCAGGTTTCATTCATGAAGACCATCTGCGTGAACTCCTTACCACCATGGGCGACCGGTTCACCGATGAGGAAGTTGATGAGATGTATCGTGAAGCCCCCATTGACAAGAAAGGCAACTTCAACTATGTCGAATTCACTCGTATCTTGAAGCACGGAGCCAAAGATAAAGATGATTAAAACTGAGAGAGATTCTACCTTCCACTCGCCCTGTTTTAGGCCCCAGCTTCCTTGCTTCTCCTCCATGATTCCCATGATCAAGTATCAGAATTGGCTAACCTGAAAGGAATGTGTTTCTAAATATTTTAATAGAGATCACCCTGATTTAAAAGAAGCTTGGGAAAGTTACTTTTCTTGGACAACAATTACCAGAATCCCCCAGATAGCATGGCCAGTGCAGTAACTTTCCTAAGCTCTGATCTGAAGAATAAGCTTGTTGTATGTTTATATATATTACCCATGAGTTAGCACTGATTCTTTATTAAGCTGTTACCCAATTCTGTAGGTTTCATGGAGAAAGGTACTAGTAACCTCAGGTATCCAAACAATCTAGTTGCTAGTATGTTTGCAGGGGAAGGAAGCTGATACACTGTGGACACATCAACCCATCTGACACTCTACACTTATTTCATACAACTCTCCCCTGACTTAATATAATTGGGCGTGATGGGATTGAGATTGACATTGGAGGCTCTGCCTTGAGGACTGACCTCTCTTCTTGCCTCTGTTTATCATATATTCAATTCAGCACTTTTAAAACTACAAAGTAACTTAATGTCTTTGTTTTCTCTGTCACCACAACCTTGAGAGGTTTAACACCCTATTCTTCCCATTTTGTAGTTAGGAAGATGAAATAGATTTGGGCCTGAAACCACACTATGACAATTTACATGGAAAATTTGAGCCCAAGTCCCCCTTCTCCTCAACCAATTGTACCATATTGGCTTTCACCAGTCTTTTCATAATGAATCCATTCAAAGTTAGTGGGTCACTAGTGCTACCACTGGGTTTACCTGGCTTGCTTGAGATGCCCTCCTCCATTTTGCACTTGTGATGTTCTGCACACACACACACAAATCTTAATTTGAATATTAGCAGAGCACATCTGATAACAACACATAGATATTGAAAGAGAGATCCTCTCAACTTTCCCATTATTTTTCATCAGCCCAAATTCAGATCATCTTCCATAAATGGGTGGTGGGGGTTTGGGGTTGGCTAGAAATCAGATGACCAATCCACGATGTTTAAAGTCCTCTCTCACCTATTCTACTTTGGCCTTAAAGCTAGTGTTTTCCATTTCTTGCTGTCTACCTAAAAATAGGATGGGGGGGAGGGGTTTACAAAAAGTAAAAACTCACTTATCTACCCTACAATGGTTTTAAGATAAAATTTTGTTTCTTTTGAGGGGGCTTGCTTTTATTTTTTTTTCCTCCTCTTTATTTAAAAACCAGAAATTAAGTAAGTAGAACACTGGGAACATTTCGGAAGATATACTACTATTCTTGCTCTTATCCCAGTCATAGTACATGCAGTGGTTGACAACCAGGGCAAAGATTCTGTGACTTAAAGGGAGGAATTGAAATTGCATATAAAGAGAATGATACAATATGTTTTTGTCCTATATGTGGTGTTTTTCATTTTACAGTTGTCTATCCACTACCTATCTAGTGTCCTCATTTTACCTGCCTAAAGTGAAGTAGTTGCCCTAGAACTGGCAAATGGTTTCTTGGATGGCAAGCAGATTACGGATTCAATGAAAATGCAACCTCTTGTTATTTCGCCTAGTATTATTTTATTTTCACTGCCAGGGATATGGAATAGTACTTATGGGATTTTCTGTTTTATGGGACCAAAATAACTTACCTAGTTTTCGGCAATAAGTGCCTTCAGTTTGGAGGGGAAGATGCCCTTTGCTACTCTGACTCGGACAGTAAAAATGCCTTGGCACCTCAGCCTTTTCCCTTTGTTATTGCATTCTTTATGGTTACAGTGCTGGGTCTGAAGAGAATAATAGTCGTGTATGGATGTAGGCTTTGCATACAAGGGACTGCTGAGTACTGAGCCTTACCCAGAAAAAAATTGAGCTAGGAAGCTATAAATTGCAGGGTGCATTGGCCACTTTCTCTGTATTCAATGGTGCAAAAATCAACTACCTATGATTTTAATCTAACTTTTATTTTCCGGTCCAAAGTGAACATGGCGGCACCTCCAGAAAAGTTCAGTGTGGAAGAGCATAGGACCATAATCAAGTTCCTGTTTCTCCAAGGGAAAGGTGCAAAGCAGATCCATGATGAAATGTCACAAACTATGAGTGACAGTGGGCCTTCATATGCAACAGTTATATGTTGGGTTGTCAATTTTGAAACTGGCCATTTCAGTGTTGAAAGTGAGAAACCCAGTGGAAGGCCTGTTTCTGTCTCTGTGCCTACAAATGTGAAAGCCATCCATGACATGATCATGGATGACTGCCGAATATCAGCCAAAAGTATTGCTATAAGATCTGAGAATAATACGTGAGAGAGTTGGTCATTATTCACGATGACTTGACTGAGAGAAAGCTGGCAGCAAAGTGGATCCTCAAACTTGACAGCTGAACAAAAGAGGAAACGTGTGGAGTCATTGGTGGCTGTTTTGGAACATTTTACAAGAAATGAGTCAGATTTCCTGGGCAAACTGGTAAATGGTGATGACACAGGGATCTACTGTTATGATCCTGAGATGAAGGAACAGTCTAAGAAATGGAAGCACAGTGGTTCCCTCAGGCCAAAGAAGTTCCGAGGGCAAAGGTTGGTGCAGAAGCAAATGTCAACAAGTTTTTTGGGATAAGAAGGGAGTTCTGCTGGTGGACTACCTCCAACAGGGTTCAACCATCAATGCAAAATATTACTGTGCTTTATTGACAAAGTTGGGGCAAAACATCAAGGAAAGCTCTCCAAAGGTGTCATCCTGTTACATGACAATGCCTCGTCACGCAGTGCAGGTGAAACAATGGCAAAACTGGCATCCTTAGGTTTTCAAGTGATGCCCCATCCACCTTATTCTCTCGACCTGGCTCCTTCTGACTATTATCTGCTCCCCAAACTCAAAAAACACCTAAAGGGACAACGATTAGGGAGTATTCTGGAGGCAACTAATGCTGCAAATGAGAGGTTACAACAGGCAGGTGGAAGAATTATATTTGCAGGGATTTAAGCTGCAGGACAGATGTCGCAAGTGCATTGACTTCCTGGGGGAATATGTAGAATAGTGTGGCAGTTACAGCTTCCTAGCTCAATTTTTTCTGGGAAAGTCTCAATACTTATCAGCACCCCTTCATATGAGCAAGAACCTCAGTTTCCCAGAGTTCTTGTGCATGTACAGTATGTCAAGACTACAGGCAAGCAAGAATCTTTTCCTCTCAGTGCTGTAATCATGAAAAACACTGCAGCAGACAGACAGGGACACCCTTCTAAGAGTGTTCATAGCACCCTATTGAATGACGCTTGACTAAGGCTAAAGTTTTTCCAAAATTGCTAGAACTAGTAAGTCAACCCAGTGTGCATCAGAAACAAGTCACACTGATAGGACTGAATAGGATTGCAGCTTTGAATGAACAGTATAGCACTTAAAATACCATTGGGTTTGGTGCTTTCTACCTAGGCACAAGATACATAATGTGGTGTAGTGGACAGAGTGAGAAACTAGGACTTGGGAGAATTAACTGTTCAGGTTGGAACTGGTAAAGGTAAAGGTAAAGGTTCCCCTTGACAATTTTTGTCCAGTCGTGTTCGACTCTAGGGGGCGGTGCTCATCCCTGTTTCCAAGCCACAGAGCCAGCGTTTTTGTCCGAAGACAATCTTCCGTGGTCACATGGCCAGTGTGACTTAGACACGGAATGCTGTTACCTTCCCACCGAGGTGGCCCCTATTGATCTACTTGCATTTGCATGCTTTCGAACCGCTAGGTTGGCGGGAGCTGGGACAAGCGACGGGCGCTCACTCCATTGCGTGGATTCGATCTTACGACTGCTGGTCTTCTGACCCTGCAGCACAGGCTTTTGTGGTTTAGCCCGCAGCGCCACCACATCCCCTTGGTAAAACCACTCCTTAAATGTTTCACTTATCTTGAAGGTCTGTTACAGTCTCTATAAGTCGATTCCTATTTGACAGTACACAACACATTTTGTCCAGTCAGCATTACATATCTGAATTGTGCCAATGCCTTAACATTTACTTTTTTGAAAGTTAGGTTGTTGAATTATATTTCCGAGAATCCCCCAGACAGTAAGGATTCTGGGACCTGTCATCCAAACAAGTTAACTTTCCCAGTCTCTGTTCTTGAGGAGGGTTGGAATAAGGCTATTATTTTCTGTGAAACTAGCAAAGCTCTGTGTGTCCACCTCTGGTCAGTAACTAGTTTTTAACAGGATCCCTTGGCCAAAGGACCTCTGCCCACACACTAGCTCGCTCTCACTGAAGGTAGAATTTGTGCTAAGATTTTTGTTACTTCTATCTCTGTATGGTTCCTGCAGGGCTGATTGTAACTTTTTTTTGTGCTTATCCATGATTTTTTCCAACAGAATTTTCAGTTAAGTAATGAGAAGAAACAAACAGAAAACAAAATGCACAAATATAACTTCTTTCTTAGAAGTAACTCCCATTGAATTCAATAGGATTTACTCTTAGAAAGTATATATAGGATCATAGCCTAATGGTGAAATCCTTTGCCTGGCTACTATAAAGCATTTGTTGGTTAAACTTATATCCCGTACGGATTTCCTCTGGCATGCATGATAGTGCACATGGTCCTCCTTCCCATTTCTATCTGTACAACAGCACTAGGAGGTGGGTCAAGGTCAGAGATAATGGCTGCCTCAATGTCATCCAGTGAGATTAAAGGCCAGTGAGGCATTTGAACCCACCTATTCTCACTCCCTGCTTAATACTCTTAACAACTCCAGGCCTACTGTCAGGTAAGTATGCAAAAGAGAGAACCCTTAATTACATATCTTGAATTTAAAATTAAGGAGATACCTATCATCCAGCATGAGGAATCTTTATGTATTTCAACTCCCATGATCTCTCATCTGTGACTGGGTGGGGCTGATGAGAATTGGAGTCTTATCTATATCTGGAGGGCATACCTTTAAATTGGCAGTCTACTCTAGAAGTTTAAAGGTATAAATTTCTAGCCAGCAAAAAAACAATGCAAGGCATATGGGGGGGGGGAGAAATAATCCCCAAATAATGGGTATCTTTTGTTTTTTTATAATATTTAGTTTGTGCAGTGTTGATGTTCTGATAATGATATGTACAAAGTCAATTTTCTTCACAAATGGGCAATGAAAAGATGGTGAGAATGCACTGACTTATTACCTATATAGTATAACAAAGTAACTTAAGGAGTAATTGTTATGTTAAGAGATTTTATGTTAATATCAGTAGTTGCACAATGTGATGCCTGGAACAGTACAATACAACACTATCCTTGCCTAAGGGCTAAAAATTTGCATTAGACAGGGCCTGGATTAGAAGGGGAAATGAATAGGGCTGCCACCTCTTTTTCCTGCCCTGCTCCTGTGCCTGTAAAAACCAGCCTTACTATAGGAAAGGAAAGTGACCTTGCTCCCATCACTTTACCATCCTGCAGGGAATAAATTTAATACTGTAATTTAACCTCAGTCTTGTTGAGGAGGATGACAAGGTGGGGGGGGCGTTTAGGAAAGTAAGGATATTCATACTATGGACGGATTAGAAGCTACATCAGAGGAGTGGATGTGGTAGAACTACTGTGGTTTTAAAAAGGCTGACATTTATGGCACTCTTAAAGGAAGGAACTGAAGAAGTAAAATGCTTAGACAAACAGCAATAGGGAGGTTTGCATAGCCGACTTCATGGAAGAGGACACAGAGATGGAAATGGGAGACGGTAGCTCTTTCTATTATGACAGCAGTGTGCTGAAATGGTTAGAGGGCATAACTGAGGCTTGGGAGGTCCAGGGTCCAGTTTGAATTAAGTCGTGACACTTAATGCGTGAACCTGGGTCAACCATACTTTCTCTCCTCTTCCCTACCCAGTAGGATTATTGTGACAATGAAGAGGAAAGAGGAGCTATGCAAGCTATCTTGTACTCATTGAAGGAAAAATGGGTAATAAATTTAACTAATGAAAAAAAAAGCATCTATATCACAGTCTCAAGGGCTGGATGAGAAAAAGAAAACCATTAGACGCAGGGTTCCCTCCATCTCCTTGGAAGTAAAATCTAATGTGTTGCATTTCTGTGCTGCTGCAGCAGAAAAAGAGTCTTTGTCTGGAGACACAAAAGTCACACCCTAAGGGGCTACTCTTTTTTGAATATACTAAGAAGAAGTGGTGTGGGGGATAGAATGATAAATAGGACTCAGGAGGTCTGGGTTCAAATCCCCATTGAGCCATGGAGGCTCACTGAATATCTCACCTTAAAAGCCCTGTTAAAGTCGCTATAAGTCATTTCTGATTTGAAGGGACATAACAATGAAAAAATGTGCATTTCCTTAGTAAACTTCCTGTTTACTGATTTGCTCATTAAGGAGCCCTAGAGAACAATGAGTTTGTTTGGAACAGCCAAGTCATTAGCCAAGGGGGAGGAGG